GACTAGCCACAAAATTCCTTAAACTTTTTTAGGGTTGTTGTAAAAGTTGGCAATAATTAGTTGTATTAGTTCTCGAAAGAATAAAAATATCCGTTATTTTAAGTAAGCTAAGTACAAAATTATATAATTACGCTAGAGCCACTTCCAGTAAAAATTTGATAAAATGTTACTAAGTGTTCACTTACTGGAAATAACCGTGTGATAATTTTGGTATCACATGTCACCCTCCATTCGATCGTTCCATATTTGTCAAAACAAGCGTAAAATTCTGAACACATCGAATCACTGAAAGGATTACAATTGAATTTAGAATAAATTATAAAGGGAACTTTCCTAATGAAGGTAAAGGCCTATATTCAATATTTACAGGATGAAACAGATTTAATTGAACGGGAAGACATGCTCTATTATTCCAACGTTGCTTTCAAAAAATTACAAAATATTACAAACTTTTTAATGTATCGCGACATTTTATTTGTTCCTCAGACTCCTTTCTTTTCGGGGCAACGACAAAAATTCAATTTACATCTCTTTGCCTCGGAGTTACTTAATTCTTTCTCTCAGTGAAAATAAATCTCCCGTAATTGATTCCGCTTTAGTTCAATTTGTCTTCGTTAAAACTCAATTTCCGTAGTCTATTTGTGAATAATAAATTGCGCACTTCAGGAATGTGGCACATTGCTTATTTTGTATATGCTCAACTTCAAAACAATTTTGCCAGGCACGAGACAAGTCAATCTAAATTACCGTAAAATAACAGCGACATATAAAGTACTCCTCACTTCGCATAGGGTAACTGACATACAGTCTTATTGTATTTTTATAACTCATTATTCGCGGAATTCAGCTGCTCAATCTCTTCTAACCCGCACGAGTTGACTGAATTATTAAACAACATCCAGATCAGGAACCCTATTTAAATAAAAGCAGTGGCTCTTACCACGACCTGTTTCTCTGATTAAAATAAAAGCTACCCTTAGAAAATGAAAGTCGTTGCATGGATTAGCATAAATAAACTGCACACAGTACTACTTCTGTTACGTTTCTTTTAAAATATAAGGTTGCCACAAATTTAATATTACACCGTAGATATTACATACAACCAGTTATCTGGAATTGGACTGTAAAAAAGATAAGGTATGCAGGAATGGAGTCGTCAATGTAATGATTTCACATATTGGGTCCCGGTCGGCACGTCTCAGCGACCCTTGAGTGTTATCAGGCGGGACATCGCGGCTCGAGGGTAAACATCTAATCTACCGCACAAACAAGCTGTCCAAATTGCCTCTAAGGTTATCGAATACCAAATTAAATTGGTTACACGATTCTATAAACCGACTCGATTGGTTAAGCCCAACTTAAAAAATAACGCACCTACTGTCGGTATATGTAAAATTATGAAATAAAGACAGTACTACTCGATCCTTGTTGTTTGAATAACGTGTCCCCGATACACAACACAACATGGCGCAGTCGGTAGGATTCAAAAATTAAATAGTAGTCATATACACAATTTTAAAATATAAATAAATATCTTAAAGTGATTAAAGGTTAACAACATGGAAACTATCCTAACTCCGCCGGCTCCTTTTTGTTTTGATCAAAATACGACAAATATAACAACTGGTGCGTTAAGTGAAAACTGGAATAAATGGAGTAACGGTTTTAAAATTTACTTTGAGGCATGTGAATTATCGAAGAAAAGTTCAACAATACAGGTGAACATACTTTTGCATATAATTGGTGAACAATGCCGAGATTTATATGCACAGTTTAATACGAAATGCACAACAGTGGATGAAATATTAGAAAAATTCAAAAATTATTTTCAACAGAAAAAGAATTTGACGGTAGAGAGACATAAGTTTTTTATACGTAATCAGGATGAAAACGAATCAATTGAACAGTATGTGTATGAGTTAAAAAAATTGGCAATGACTTGTGAGTTTGGAGATTTATGTAATTCTCTGATCAAAGATCGTTTGGTTTGTGGAATTTTGAATAATGGTATCAGAGAAAGACTACTGCGAGAAGCAGATTTGACATTAGAAAAAGCGGTAAATATATGTCAAGCGGTTGTCGTTTCTAAGATGTATTCAGAGAAGATATGCACTGAGCACAGGAACACAGTAAGCAAAATAAATAATTATGATTCCAATCAAGAGGACGTATGTAAGATCGAGTCGAGAAGAAATCGGAACGGTCACCGAGTTCAGTACACGTCATCAGCAGTGCGCGGCAGCGGCCGTGGCGGTTTCGTAGGTCGCGCGGGACATACGACCAACAATGTACCAAGGGCGTTGGTACCGGGTGGCGCGAACAGCTACAGAGGCAGAACGGTGTCAAGCTATGAAAATATCAATTGTAACAAATGTGGCATGCAGCACCCGAGAAACTCCTGCCCGGCGTATGGAAAACAATGTGGGAGATGCACACGTATGAATCATTTCTCCCGTATGTGTAACGTATTTCGGATTGTTGACTCTGATGAAAAGGTAATTCGTTTAGTGGATAATTTATGTAGTAATGATAAATGGTCGGTAAATTTAATAATAAATCAGTTCCAAATATGTTTTAAAATTGACACGGGAGCCGACGTCAATGTTTTGCCAGAGAGTTTTTTAACTAGATTAAATATAAGCAAGCGGGAGTTGTTGTCCACTACAACAAAGCTACACGGTTATTCTGGGGCACAAATCAATGTCATCGGTAAGTGTTTTGTTAAAGTTATTTACAAAAACAATAGTTTTATTTTAGAATTCAAAGTTGCTGAAGTGAATTCTATGCCTATATTAGGTAAATTTGCTTGTGAAGAATTAAAATTGGTAAAACGAATATATTCGATAGGTACAGATTTATATAGTAATATGTTAGATGAATATCGAGACGTATTTGAAGGGTTAGGGTGTGTACCGGGTACCTACAAAATTCAATTAAAAGATAGTGTTAAGCCAGTAGTACACGCACCTCGTAAAATACCTATACCTATTAGAGATCAAGTAAAAACTAAGTTAGAGGAAATGGTGCAACAGGGTATAATAGCGAAAGTGGAAGGTCCAACGGATTGGGTGAATAGTATAACTATTGTAAAGAAACAAAATGGAGATTTAAGAATTTGCTTGGATCCGAAAGAATTGAACTTGGCAATTAAGCGTGAACATTTTAGGCTACCCACATTAGAAGAAATATTATCGAATCTTTCTGGTGCTAAGTATTTTAGTACTCTTGATGCCTCGAATGGGTTCTGGCAGACAAAACTCCACCCCAGCTGTACAGACTATTGCACATTTAATACACCGTTTGGACGTTTTAAATTTTTGAGAATGCCTTATGGTATATGCTCTGCAAGTGAGGTTTTTCATAAAAAAGTTCACGAAAATTTTGATGATATAGAGGGCGTGTGTACATTCGTTGATGATTTGTTAATCAGTGGACGGACAAAATTGGAACATGATAATAGGTTGAGATGTGTGTTAGACAGATGTCGTAAAATAAATTTAAAATTAAATAAAAGCAAATGTAAATTTGGACTTAGTGAAATTAGATACTTAGGGCACAAGATAACGCAAAATGGCTTATTTCCTGATGAAAGTCACGTGTCAGCAATAATTAATATGCCAAAGCCACAGTCAGTAAAGGACTTGGAAAGGTTTCTGGGTTTGGTGACATATGTAGGCAACTTTATACCTAAATTGTCAGATAAAACTAGACCATTGAGAGAATTATTACAAAAAGACATAGAATGGCATTGGGCGGAAATACATGATAGTGCTTTTAGCGAATTAAAAAGGTGTCTCACTAAAAAGCCAGTCTTACAGTTCTATAGCATGAATGACCCCATCACAATTTCAGTCGATGCCAGTAAAAGTGGCTTGGGAGCGGTATTGATGCAAAACCATCACCCTGTTTGTTATGCTTCAAAGTCTTTAACTAAAACTGAGCAACGTTATGCACAAATAGAAAAAGAGTTATATGCCTGCGTGTTTGCGTGTGAACGGTTTTATGGATATATATACGGACGTACAGATATAGTAATAGAATCTGATCATAAACCTCTCGTAACAATTATTAAGAAACCAATCATTGACTGTCCCCCGAGATTGCAACGTATGCTTCTGCGACTTCAACCATATACTTTTAAATTAGTATACAAACCAGGTAAAGAATTATACATCGCGGACACATTATCGCGAGCCTATCAGGCATCAAACAACATTGATAACGATCTACAGAGCGATATCACAGAAGCAATACGTTCACTAACAGTAAAAAACGAACTTACAGATTCACACTTCATCGCGTTGCAAAAAGAAACGGAATTAGATAAAGACTTACAAAAATTAAAACAATACATTGTAAAAGGTTGGCCGTTTGACAAGTGTAGGGTTGAATTAAATATTAAACCATATTGGAATTATAGGCATGAGTTGTCAGGGGCGTGTGGTTTGTTATGGAGAGGTAATAGAATAATAATACCTAAGAATTTACGTAGGGAAATGTTAACCAAATTACATTTTGCTCATTTAGGGTTTGAAAAGTGTTTGTTAAGAGCTAAGGAGTTATTGTTTTGGCCAGAACTAAATAACCAACTAAGAAACTTAATTGATAATTGTCAAACATGCTTGACCTTCAGAAAGAATAATAGTAAAGAAGAGTTACGCCCACACGAGATACCTAGCGAACCTTGGGTAAAAGTAGGTATGGATTTGTTTTATTTTAACGGTATTAACTATCTTTTAATAGTTGATTATCACAGTAAATTTATAGAAACTATAGAATTAGTAAGTACCCTCTCTGATTCGATTATAAAACATTTAAAAAATACATTTAGCAGACTAGGAATACCTCAAATAGTGGTTTCAGATTGTGGACCACAATTTATTTCCAATGAGTTTCGTAAGTTTGCTCGGGAATGGTGTTTTAATCACGTTACAACGTCGCCTCGATACCCGCAATCAAATGGTCAGTCAGAGCGCGCTGTTCAAATTGTAAAAAATATCATGAAGAAAAGTATGCACAGCAAATCAGATTATAGACTGGCACTTTTAGAATACTTAAATACACCTATAAGTGAGAATTTACCCTCTCCGGCGGAAATACTACAGTCCAGAAAGTTACGAAGTATTCTTCCAGTAGTGAGGTGCTTACACCCGTCGTCAGGTCTTATTAAACGTGAGTTGATAAGAAGGCAACGGATTTATAAGCAATATTATGATAGAAATGCAAAGAAATTAGCTACTCTTTCTGTAGGTCAGCCTGTTAAAATTAAAGACCAAAACAATAATAAGTGGATATCAGGAACAATAACAAAACAGTTGAGAGAACGTAGCTACGAAATAAAGTTATCGTCTGGTAATATTATAGTTAGGAATAGACGTCACATGATTGCCGATTCCTTACAGAAACATCGCAAGACAAATGTTAATTCTTATGACTCATACGCAGACTACGATGACGTCTGTCCTACTGAGACGCACACAACGTTGAACTCGGCTCCCGGCGTCGACACTTCTGTACCTTGTAATAATGGCATTAATGCAGATTGTGATAGATATTATGTTACTCGTTTTGGCAGGACAGTCAGACCTCCGGATAGATGGGGATACTAAGCAAACCGCTGTCGAATATCAACATTAGATGGCGAACATGTAACTGGTACATAATATTATTGAATATAGTTAAATAACTGTTTATGAACACTGTAATTATATATATATATATATATATATATATATATATATATATATATGTGTGTACCCAAGAATAATCATAGTTTGATTTAATTAAATTAAATGCATATTAGATTATATTATTATATTAGATGCGGAATGCATAAAGTTTATATATATAAATATCACCTATTCTGAATTAGATAAATAGTACCTATGAATTAAATTATTTGTAAATTGTAATTAAATTGTTTGTTGTGTTTGATTTGATTCATTAAATGTCAATTATTGACATTGGGTACAATAAGATTATACACTAATTATAATGGTATGAAATTTTATATTACTTAATACATTATGAGAATTTTAATGTGTTGTGTATTGGAATTTTGTGTAAATTTTGTAATGCATGCTTTTATTATTTTTGATAATGAGTATGTGATTAGTGTTTGATTAATTGTTCTGATATTTCTGATAATTTTATTGTAACTGTAATTGTACCTATTATTAATTTTTTTTGTTTGTTTTCAAGGGAGATGTCGGTATATGTAAAATTATGAAATAAAGACAGTACTACTCGATCCTTGTTGTTTGAATAACGTGTCCCCGATACACAACACAACACCTACAACCTTGAAATGAACATTCATTAGACTAAAAAGAGAAAAAGCATGATTTAGGTTGCACACAGTGTAGGTTACACACAGCCTAAAACAAAAGTAAAACACATCTCCGTAAGTGTAAACAATATTAATATTTAATTTTACTATTCTGGAAACTTCTACTAATCAAAGCTATTCGTATGGTAAATTATATTTTTGAAAGAGCTATCTTCAGACACCGAATTAAATATTTGATTACTAAACCATCTTCTCATTATTTTTTAATTAATATAGTTGAAGTGAAAATTCCGACTCTCTTATGGTTTCGTTTCTCTTTATTGCAGTAAATCAAACTATCTCCATAGCAAATTTCATGTAAAGCGCTTTAGCGATTATTAATTCCCTCTAGAAACTTCCATATCTGGTGAAAACTATGTAATTTCCCGGGACTCAAACTTTTATCTAAATCTCTATACAAAATTTCATCTAAATTGGTTCAGTGGTTTAAGAGATAACAGACAGACAGACATTCACACTTTCGCATTAATTATATTATTATGGATACAAGTCATAGGAACTAAAGCGCTCTTGCTAAAACGAAATACATAGATTAGATCGCTGTATCGCTTCCTGAAATAAAAAAAGAGCGCCATATGCGAATGTTAATTGCTTTGCAAAACGAACATTTTGTTCCCTGGCAAGAGCTGTTCAAATTAAACCACATGGTAATAAATAATAATAACTTTACACATCTCACACACGGCAGCCTGAGCCCCAACTAGTGCTATGATTACCAGACTGCTGATATATTCACGTATGTTACATGAATATTTCTAAATACATACATATTCTAAATTAATGAAATGAATTTTAATTGTCTAAATTAATTAAGTTGTCTGTGTGGTGAAAGGATTAAGAATACAGAGTGTGACTGCCCCTATTCATCAAGCGGGTGTCGTAAGAGCTGACTAAGGGAGCAAACTACACATGACAACATTACCCCAGCCCAAACCTTTTTTTTTTTTTTTTTTAACGTGTGGACATCCCCTCGGACGATCACCCCACCGGGGTTTGCGGCGGGGTGGTGTGTCGGACTCGGACCGACTAAAACCACACGGTATGCCACTCTGCGCATTATAATAATAATTATATTAATTTATAATAATAATAATAAAAACGAACATTTTTGAACAACACTAGCAACACTGAAAACAGTCGACATTTCTTTTACATATTTTCGAAACAAATAGATTTTACAACAATTTACAATATCGTAAAATAAGCTAAACAAATTAAAGAACAATAAAATGGATGCTTTATATAAAAATATCATAAAAAATGCTTAAAATAGATAAACCAAAAATAAATAAAGTATATGCATATAGACATGACGTCTAACGTCATGTCAAAATACATGAAAGTATTTTTCCACCCAAGAAAGACTGTAGAATGATAACAAGAGCTAGGTCGAAAGCACAATTAACATCCCCGGACTCGTCGCTCCGCTCCGTCTTGCCGTCCACGGAAACCACAACAGAAGCTCCGGCCGTGGCTGAGGCGTCGAGCTCGACTTCAAGTGACGAGTTTTTCTCTCCGCCGACGTCGCCAACACCTGTACGTCGGCAGGGGAGAGGCCGGCCACCGATCTGCTTAGGATCCCGAGGACCATTGACCTCGAATAGGGTCCCCGCTACCGGTGGTAATGTGCGCCGCATGAAGTGGACAAATTCTATCAATGAGAATGTCATGCGGGCATATTATCGGGCTACAGAGATGGGAACAAACCTTACTGCGTACCGTGTTCGACTAGTCTCTTTGTTTCAGGAGCTTGAACCTGCTGTCAACGTATCAGCACAACGATTGTCGGATCAAGTACGAGCTATACAGCGCTGTCATCTGCTGGATGATGCAGTACTTGAGAGGATACGCTCTGACATACGGAATAGCTTGATTATCCCTTCTTCGTCACACACTGTGGATTTGGTAGCTAATAGCACACCTCAGTTAGTATCACATACCAATGATGTTGATGAATTAGTGGAGGGTGAAGTTATATCTGTAAGTACCCAATACAATGACAGGATAAGGAGCGCTTTGGAGGATGCGATTCTAGAGTACCGGTATGTGAATTGGAATAATAGACCCCGATTGTCCCGTTTGCCCATTCATAAACGAAATTTAGCGCTTGTGGGTGCCCTGGATTCGTTATTGCCTGATTATTTAGACAATAGCGAAGATCTTGGTGATACACATTCTATTCTGTATTGTGCGGCTGTTGCAGTTTGTCGAGTAGCTGGTGTTAATATAGTTGAAAATGTCACTACTACTCGACCTAAATCAACTGTACCAGCTTGGCAGTGTAGAATTGAACGTCGTATTGCTGAGACCAGGGTGCTTATTGGTAAGCTAATTAGTTTTCGATCAGGGAATACGCGGCCGAGAGTGATGCGCTTTGTGAAACAGGCATTCTTGGGGACTACCATTGGTCCTCAACAGTACATGTCATGTGTCACAGAGCGCATAGACTTTCTAAAGCAGAAAATTTATGCATGGGCAAATAGGATAAGACGGTACAAAAAACGAATAGATCGGTATAATCAGAATCGGATGTTCCAAAGAAATGAGAAGTGGGTGTACCGGAAATGGGAGGAACCGGATCCATGTGTGAGTCATGGGCATTTGCCAGATGAAAATGTCACACATACTTTTTGGCGGAACATCTGGTCGGTGCCTGTCACTCATATAGAAGGTGATTGGTTGCGGGATGTCAGACGCTCATGTGAGTCTATAACACCTATGGAACCAGTTATAATTGATAAAGATGATGTAAGCTGTGCAGTTCGTTCATTACCGAATTGGAAATCACCTGGTTTAGACGGACTGCACAACTTTTGGCTTAAGTGGTTCCGAAGCTCACATGCGTGTTTGGCATCTCAATTCCAGGCAGCTTTAAATTCGGGTTCATTACCCCAATTTTTAACCACTGGTATAACCCACTTACTCTATAAGTCTGGTAGTGTCATGGATCCCAAAAATTTTAGACCTATTACATGTTTACCAACCATGTACAAACTTCTTACATCTATTCTGAGACTCAAAATTACTTTACACATTAATAATAATTCGATTATGTCAGTTTCTCAGAATGGATGTAGAAGTGGGAGCCGTGGCACTAAAGACCTCCTTATTATAGACAGGGCCATTAGCCAACAGGTGCGTCGTAATCGTAAGAGTTTGGCGACATGTTGGATAGACTATAAGAAGGCTTATGACTCGGTTCCACATACATGGCTTTTGAGGGTGCTGGAGTTGTATAAAATTGATACAACTCTGTGTACTTTCTTGAAGTCATGTATGGGGCAATGGAGAACAGCGCTTCGTTATCCAGGATGTCGGCAGACGACGGTAATTGATGCACCAATAAAGATCGAGCGGGGTATATTTCAAGGTGATAGTCTGAGTCCCTTGTGGTTTTGCCTGGCTTTGAACCCTCTTAGCACTTTATTAGAGGGTTCAGGGCTAGGCTATAGGTTGCAGAAAGACGATCAAGTTATATCTCACCTTCTTTATATGGATGATTTGAAACTACTGGCCCCCACCAAATTACAATTGTCAGCGTTACTGAAGGTGACGGAAAACTTTAGTAATTCTATCAAAATGGAATTTGGTGTAGACAAGTGTGCAGTCATGTATGTAAAGAAGGGTGAGATAGTAGAATCTGAAGGAATAGAGCTTTCCGATTCAACAAAACTCAGATCTCTGTCTGCCACTGAAACTTACAAGTATTTGGGTATATCACAGTCGTTAGGCATACCAGAATCTGACATGAAACAAACGTTGCAGGAACGCTTTTTTGCCCGCTTGAAAAAAGTACTTAAAAGTCTTTTATCGGGGGGCAACAAGGTACGAGCCTGCAATGGTTGGGTCATGCCGATTCTGATGTACTCCTTTGGTATACTTAAATGGACTCAGACCGAACTAGATGCCCTTGATAGGAGAGTCCGTACATTGCTGACTGCATTTCGAATGCACCACCCACGTTCATCGGTTATGAGATTGTATATCCCGCGAAAGCTAGGGGGTCGCGGATTATTAAATATCAAGACCCTACACAATCGGGAGATATGCAATCTCAGAGAATATTTTCTACATACCAATGTGGGAATGCATCGCAATGTAGTTGCAGTGGATATCGGATTCACCCCGCTCGCTCTGGCTAAAGAGAATTGGCGCAAACCTGTAGTATTTAGTACTAATGATCGTAGGGAAGTATGGAAGGGCAAAGAGCTCCATGGCCGGTTTTATCGGGCCCTAAACGGGTCCGATATAGACTTTAAA